AATTCATTATTTTTTGGCTGGAAAAGGTAAATAAATTTTTAAAAATGTATTAATAAATATCAATGGTTGCATGTAACATGAGTAAGGATCCAAAAGTTTCAAAATTTATTTTTTGTATAGTAGGCTTTGTTGATAGCAAACTGTCAACTATGTTAGGATTGATATTTATATCTCAGCCACTTATTTAAGTAATGAGCTTATCACTCACACTAATTTAAGTTGGATTTCAAAAGTTAATTTTCATCCTAACTATAGTTGGGAAAAAAATCATTTACCAATTATTTTTACCCAAACATGATTCTTTTTTTTAAACTTCTAACTAGCTTTTTAGTTCACAATCTAAGTTTTGGGCCAACTACATATGATCCCAAACAAATACTAAATATGATTAGGGAGAATGATATTAAAGGTCAGAAACAATGAATTTATGATAGTTAAATTCTTAACAAAAATTTATATGAAATTATCAGTAAATATTGATTCAAATATTTATAAATTTAAAAGTTTTAATTATAAATAAGATATTTAAATTTTAGATATAACTCTCAAATTGTAATTGAAAATCTGTTTCCAACTATTTGAGTCTATATTTGCAATATAAATTCTCCATTTCAAGACTTTATTATCATTCTCCCATAAAATTATTATATTCAACCAAGACTTGTTCTCATTCATATTCCCATTCCCATTTCTGTTCCTATTCATTTTCAATAACAACGAATGATTGATAGGTTTTGCAGAATGCAAGTATGGAACAGCTGATTCAGATATGACTGGGGAGGCGTTGGAACATTTCGCTGCTATTACTTGATGTATGTGGATGTGCATGGGCAAGTGATTCACACATAGCATGTGTTGTGAGTCGTGAGTTGTGTGGTGTATGTTGATCCTGTGATCTGAAGTTATTTTGTGAGTGGGAGTGGATGATGTGTGATTTAGTGCTCGTCGTTTTCCTTTTCAGTTGTCCCGGGACTAGAATTTAGGACACAATAACCGTCTTGTCTCCCCAAATCTAACCACTCTTGCCTATGTTTTGTGACACTGTAGCCCAGTTGCCGTTAAGATTTAATCCCGCATGCTTTCACTTTTCGATTTCTTTACTTCATGAAATTTATAAATTAGGAAATGGACAACTTCTAAAGTTATTTTTGCCAAATACTCCCACTTTCATCAAATATAAAGTATTTTTCAAAAGTTTATTTTGTCTCTCAATATAAAAAATTTTATAATATTTTTAAATAATTAAATAATGTTACCCTTATTTTAAAAAATGAAGAAAATATTAATTGTATGTTGTATCCACTACCACCATGATATTAATTATGATATTATCATGGGCAAACCTACAAAATCATTATGGTTTTATATGATTTCAACTAAATAACATACTTTTATTAATATGCAATACTCCCTCCGTCTCTATATATAAAAAAAATTTTAAAATCTTTTTTTATCCATAAATATAAGAGGTTGTTAGCATATATTTTAATGAATGAACCATTATACCTTTATTAAATTAAAAAAAAAGATAAAAACTTTCATTAATTTATTTTAAAAAAAGAGATTCATTTTTTATTTATAATAATTAGATGCAAAATTGAAATGTTGTGCTTTTAATTAGATAACTTATTTTTATTAGTTTGCGTGACTCAATTAAAAACATCTAATATAGGGACCCAGGGAGTATTCAATTACAAACACTTTATATATAGAGATGAAGCAAATATACTAATGACCTAATTAAGGATTTGTATTTTCAAACATACATATAGAAGGTCTTGTTTTCTTACTACAAAGTGAAATAGATTTAAAAAATAAAGATAAAAATAAAATAATCAAAGGGGAGATGTGAGCACATTTATAAAAGGGAGGGATGATTTAGTTTATGGGGTTGAAAATCATGATTCATAAAATTTTTAAAAAGTGTGATAATTCTCACATTTATAATATATATTAATAAATTTTATTATGCTTACTATGAAAGAAATGGTGATTTAGTTCATTTTTAACTTTATTTTTTCAATCCATTTCATTCTAATAACCAAACGGGATTTAAGTAGTACTCCCCCAACTACAATATAAGGCATTGGTAATTAATTCAGTTTTAAAAACACATTAGTTGAAACCTAAATTTCTTAAAAAAATTTACATCTTTTCAATTATACTCTCATTAAATATTTTATATAAGTGCCTTGATAATGACAATTAAAATTCTAATGCATCATTTAAAAAAAAGAGTAATAAATGAAATAGGAGTATAATTAAAAAATCAATGATAAAAATTACTTAATGCCCTATATTTTAAATTAAAAAAAACTTTTAAAAGATACCTTGTATTGTAATTCAGAGGAAGTATCTCTTAATTTTGTAATTTATATTTGTATTGATTCTTGCTTTTCTCCATCTATTTCTATCTTCCCTACCTTTTGGAACCACACTAGAAATTTTAGCATATCTTCCATACTAGCAGGCATACATTTTGACGTATTACTTTCGGATTTTATTATAAAGCATTTTCTAGATGCATTTTTTATCCTTAATATAAAATATACTATGAGATATTAATTACATTTTTTTTCAATATCACCTCTATTTAAATTAATTAAGTATGACAGATAATGTAATGTAAATTTAAAAAAAATTGTTTAAACAGAGGTGAAATTAAAAATTTATTATATTTTTAAATAAAGTTAATAATTTAACTACTTATTGAATCTGATAAAATGATTGGAGATGTGTTATAATAAGGATTGGGCGAACATGTTATGAATCAAATTACATTGACAAGCCTTGCATCTCACATTAACCATTTTCACCCACTCTCCCCGCATTCTTTATTGCTATAAATAAATTAAGATCGATCAGCAAAGACACGGGAAGCGAACCGCAAAAACAAACTTTTTATTTTTTTTTATTTTTTAAATTGGGACAATAATGATAGTACCGTTCTTGGTGATAAATTTATTAGGAGATTTTGGGTAGGTATAATATCAATGACATTTTCTCTTGCCAGAGTACAGTAATGAATTTATTTGAAGGTTTTGGGTGGGTATAATTTTAATAGCTCGGGTGATAAAAAAAAAAAAGTTTTAATATGCATCATATCGGTATATATAAAGCGCTTTTATTTTAAGACAAAAGTATAAATTTAATTATAAATTATTTTTTAAAAATCATTGAATAGCTTAAAATAAATCAACAATTATTTAAAACAGACCACCATTATGGTCCCCACTTTCATTAACATCTCCTCCCTTCTCTCTCCAGATCTCAACTTCTCTCCCAATGACGTACTCAAGGCTTGCAAGAGCGTCCAGCCGTGAAAGCGATGGAGGGTGAGAACTTTCTTGAGACGTCTTTTGCAAATTCAGCAACATCTAGACCCACGGAATGAGGAATCCTAAATGAGTTCATACTGCCAAAATTTCCTCCATTCAACTGGAGAATCTTGCAGCTCACTCAATCTTGAGAATCTGAGACAAACTTTGACACCACCACCGTCATGGCGAGAGCGTCTTCATTGTTCCTTACTCTCCCTCCATCACCGCGGACAAGAGCCTAAAACCCACCTTCATCTCCTCTATCCCCACCTTTGACCGTGACTCCTGCCTTGCCTTCGTCACCTCCCACGGTCTAGCAATTCGCGCCAGCTTGCGATGTATCAAGTGGACAAAGTTACTTCTTCCCCACTATAACTTTAAGGCCAAGCCTCTGATGGTGATGGAGTTGCAATGGTCAGCTTGAAGTGAATAAAGTGTTGGAATGCTTATTTATCAATTTGCATTAATTAATAAGCTTAAACAGATTGATCTTTATGATCTTGTGTGAACCGAGATAAGTGGACCACACAAATAAGCTCAATAGGCAGAGGCCTAACCTATAATCCTATATCTATTAGTTATTTTCTATCTCTTAACTGATTAAGTCAAGGATAATGTGAGACAATTAATTTATTTATCTATTAAAGTGGTTATGAATTTAGTTTACATAAACCGATCAGTCGATAATCATAAACATACAATAGTTTCACTTTCTCCATCATCTCTGAACTCTCTGCAACTTATGGGGATCCAATAAATTGTATATCTGCCTATACTTAAAATAATCGAGGTCTTATATTCAGTCATGAATTTTTTAGATATGCACATTATTTTACTCAATTTTATTTGTTACATGAATTGAGATATTAAATTTAAGACAACTCTGTTGCAATAAGCTTGAAGCAGAGGGAAGAGATTTGGGGGGCCATTGTTGGAGTTACATGATGGGATTTTGGTTGCGATTGGGAAGGGAGGTTGAACAGAAAGAATGAAGCAACGTGGGTGCAAGGTTCCGGCGTGGTTGAAGGAAGAAGAGGAGACAGCAAAGAGATAATTAATGAAATAAAGAAGGATGAAGGAGGACCAGGCCATGGAGGGAATAGACTGCAAAAGAATCAGCCACATGTAATGAAAGTGAACCCCACAATTTAAAATAAACGGATGTTGCACCCAATGGACGGAAAGCACTAGTTGCTACATTTTTCTTATTTCATTCTTTATTTTACCCCACTTCATGAAATATATGTTATCCGGTGATTCTTAAAAAATACTCCGTAACTAAATTTGTACCTCTACCTTTCATTTCATAAATGAAGATATACTTCACTACCCAAAAACTAATCAAGGTTTTCTTCTCATGAATTCCATTTACGTTTCAAGTAATTATACCATTTTCAACAACTTTAAGTGTCATTTAAAATATAATAATGCTAAATATCAAGATATTTGATGCCTAAGAACCTGTTTAGCATGATATCCAATATGTCAAAAAATGCTCCCTCTAACATCTATTATTTTCAATTTCTTAAGTGGAACTAAGGAATGACAAATAATTAATTAAATGTTTTAAAAATAATAAAATTACAACTTTATCTCTATTAAAAATATGAAAAGAGAAATACACAATACACGATGAGTTATAAAATTAAATTTATAACAGGAATAAAATTAAAAAAATGGTAATAAATAATTCTTCATATGTCTCATATTAAGAACCAAGGAATCCTTCTACAAGGCATCCTGTAATAAGGACATGAGGGAATACAAGACAACAATATACCCCAAAATAACTACAAATAACAGATATGTGTTTTCCATTAGCTTTGACACTAAATAAAATAGGCTTACTCAAAAAAGTTGAATCAATCAATTCAATAAGGGCCAAAATAAATCAAAGTTGAATGAGTTTTCGAACATTCATGGGCGAAATGTCATTGGCATCACCATCTAACAGGCGTTTTGCTATGACAGCATTAGCAGCATCAGAAGGATGGAAAGCGTCCCAGAAGACATACTTGGAACGATCCTCGCAGACTTTTGATTTAGGAAAGCAAGGGATCAAGCCTCCAAATCTTCCAGCTACGTGACAGCATGAAGAATCTGGATTCTCAAAACCTGTTCCATGATGAAGACAAGTTAAAGCACCTAAAAGGTTCAAAGTACAATGCTTGAGAAATGAGAAGATTACTAAACACGCGAACCATATGCCCTGTAGTTCTGCAGAATGTCTTCTAAAATGTGATAAACATCTGCATAAACAAATAAAGACCCTTTCAAGTTCGTGTTGAGTTCTGCAACGAGGCTCTTCAATTGACCGTTAAATAATTGAGCCATCTGATTGGGGAAAGCAGCACAGTTATCTCCAGCATCTAGGTTTGTATCCCTTTCAAATGGTATGCACCCAATAGGGCCAACATTTGCCACCACAATTTTTCTGGCTCCCAGATTGGATAGTCGCTGCAAATTAATGTCCAATTATATCAGCAAGTTTGTAAGAAAGAATAAATATATGCAACGACACTCGTGAGACATGTCCTATGGGATACGTCACAGCCTCACAGTGGCAACGCTTGAAGTGGAGACTGAATATTTTGTCATGTTTGTACAAGTGGTCAGTCTTAATAGGGAATAGCAAAGGGTTTCCAAGGTTTTGATCAAAATTACAGTGAGCTGTAGCCTGAACTTCGATGTCATGGACGCCACAAACATTTCTGGAGACACCAGCTTCCTTTCGGGAGCTGATAACACAGGTGCTAAATAGTTGTTGATGAAATCGTTTGAGCCCATGGCCACTGAAAAGATAGAACTTCTGAATAGATTTTGAGCTGCAGAAACGCCAATCATGGAAATAATGTCTTGCCTAGTGTTTGCAAAGTTATCTATCTGAGCATCCAAGCTTAATCGACCACCCTATCAATGACAAGGAAATTCTCAGAGTTTCTTTATTTTCTGTATCAATTCACTTAAAACAGCTATACTGGGACAAATATTTTACAAAAATTTTGACTTTCAAGTTATTTTCCCCATTGTTGAGGAAGAAACTTACAAAAATTTGTCCAGTGTGATTCAAAATGCCACCTCCACCGGAAGCATAATTGACTCCCTTAAGAATCACTGATCCTCTCGTAGATGGAGCCAAATAAGGAGGGGTGAAATCAAGACCCAATTGATGGCCTGGTTGCACACATGATTGAAAGAGAAAAGAGAAGCAGTAATTAATTTGCCAGTTTCAACCAAAGGCTTGAAAGTGGGATAATTTTTTTTTTTTTTTAAAGGGAAATGCAGAACGCAAAAGTTAGCGAGTCTTACCCAAGATATCCACTATGGTTCTTCCATTTGTGAAACGTCCTGAGGGCCATCCAAAATCAATTCCATTGGGGACGTAGTTTGCCTTGGAGAGTGAAACAATGTAGTTGTTGTTACCTGGATCGAGTAAAGAGTCCCCAAACACAAAAGATGCAGTAACATTTTTTGAAAAGCAAATCCTAAAAAGGAGGAAAGCTGTCAATAGTTGCAATGTAACCCCAAGAATGACTGGTTTTTTCAAATAAATAAGCATCAGAAACCACGTCATAGAGAATGAAATGAATCAATTTTAATGAAGTGGCTGGTGCGTTAAAGATCTCAGGAACGACTAAATATTGAATGGGAAGCACTATGAGATAAAGAAGATTGTCTGCTAAGCAAGATGAGATGGAAGATCACAATAAATCAAAAATCCTATGCCGCACGAGAACCAAGCCTTCAATTCAATATAAATAGGAGAGGCGACAACCTGTTGCAACTTGACTAATGGGAGAATGGGTGAGAAATAAGCATTAGAAAGGTAAGAGCCAATGATAACAAAATAAAAAGTATCTAAAACTTCTGTAACATTGGCTTTATATCTCACCTATACAAGGCTGAACCACATAAATGACACCGCGTATTGTTCATGCAGACTCAAGTAAATATTTAGGTCCTCCTGACTTGGCAGAGTAAGAGACATAAGCAGCCCAGGTAAACATGACCTCCACATTTATGACTTCAAACATTTAAAGACTTTGGTTAGTTTCAAGTTGGCTATGTATCCAACTTGAACTTTTGGCAGCTTCTGTGCAGGGCTACTAGTGGTAAATCATTAAAAAAAATCTCAACTTCTACCTGTGACAATTTTTATTTCTGAAACCATCTATTCTTTTATTACTCCACGAATTAATAAACTCTTTTTCACTCGCTTGATAACTATTTTTTTAAACAGAAAAGAGCCCATTTTATTATTTCAATAAAATAAAGAAAGCAGTAAAACCTAGAATACAACCTAAAGGAAAGCAAGTAAAGCCTACAATATAACCTAAAGAAAACAGAACAAAAACCAACCGCAAATCAAATGAACTTGCATGATAACTTAATTTCATCATTTTCATCCTATCTGATTCACTTTCTTGGATACAAACGAGCCAGGCAAATGTTTAGATATGGACATCCTTCAATTAGCTAGGTATCAAAATGGGGAAAACTTTAACGTGCTAACAAGAGGACACACAACACATTTATAAGTTAGTACATAGAATGACGTTTACTTGATCTAGTTTTATTGTGTCAACCAAGACAAAAGAGATCACACCTTTTATTAATGTCATGCATCTAATATCGCACCCAGTTGACCGTACAAGTAAAACATGTAAATATATTTTTTTTCAAAGAGTAAAATTTGTTCATGCACATGCCCTTAATGGAGAAGTAATGTTTCTAGCACATCATCTAAAAACGTAAATTCCTTTGAATTCAAGTGAAAACACTTGCAAAGGATTTACGAGTGACAAGAAATTGAAAAAAATCCTTTCAGTATAGTTGCAGGAGTTGTGAGAATATTTTATTTTACGGTTTTTTAAGATGGTATGCATTTTCACTACAATTATTTATTGCATCAGTAGTTTTCCTTCGTCTAAAAGCATGTTTATTAAAAGAAACATTCCAGTAGTAATAACATAGTGTTCTGGATAATCAAATAAAGACATTTAGTGAAAAGTTTATTTTTTCCTCTTTTTCCTTTTTAATGGTAATTTGATCTTTTCTCAAAAAAAAAAAAGAAATCTTATTAATTTAAATTACTCAAAGTTGACTCATTTGAGAAACCAATGGAATATAATTATAACTTTTGTCATTACGTAAATTTGGTATGTTTCAAATGAATATTTTTCCTTGATGCCTTTACCAGTTACCTCTAACCACCTTAGTTGGCCATACTAAAATTAACTTTTGTACGGATATAAGTAATTAATAATGCTAGTAAATATTAAACATGAATAGTTAATAAGCCAAAACTGTTTCAAATATTTTTTCCTTAAAAAATCCAATTGAAAGAGCTCATTTAATTCTGGCTCCCACTAGCCATGTCAAGTTGGGCAAACCCCTGCTTGACATTGAATGCTCTGTACTGGACCTACCTTAAAAAAATAAGGATGACAGTAATTTCAAGTTTTCAACAGCTACCATACTCCATAACCCTGTACAGTATGTGTGAGTTTCTAGTTTTTCTGCAACGAGATGGAACACCGTCTGCATTGTTTACAAGCTTTAGATTTTAAAGATCTCCCAACGTTATATTTACGATTGTTCAAGATACCTACAAAGATATATGGCTTCCTCCTCTAATTGTATCATCAGCATCTTAAATTAGAAAATTTCACATGCTTCAATTTGTTTTCTGTGAAATTTAGTGGACAAGGTCTAAATGAGTATTGTACATATCTTTAGTACAGTTTCGAATGGCAATTTTTTGATTGTTATACATATCAAACAAGCAAATCTTAGTGCCTTGTTTGGTACATTAGAATTGAGACTACAGAAGTAGAAGTGGAACTCTCAAATTTGCTTGTTTGGTTCACAGGAAGCCAGTTCTCTAAGAAACCCATCATACTTCCATGAGAACTCAATTCCATCCTTCTCACTTACATAAGTTTTATCCAACTTCCATCATCATACCAAACATATTTTTTTTCATCCCACCTCCATTTCCATTTCCATTTCAACTTGCACTTTTATCAAAAACTTTTCCCTTGTACCAAAGGGGGCATTAATATCATTACATATTATATTTTATATTATCTTAGACCAGAACAAGTGACTTTTTTTTTTCAACCACCGTAGCATGTAGAGGCAGCGGAGCTGAAACTGAATTGCCTCTCTATTTACAACTTTGAAACTTTCACGACGGTAGGAAGAAATTCAAAGTTCCAAACTCTTTTAAGATATTATTCTGAATAAAACCACTCTACTAGCTCAAGGCTTTGAAAGAATAAAACCAGGCAAGAAGCCCTTCCTTCTATTCTATCACTGGTATCCAAGAAAGTTTCAGCACCAGAACATGTTAACTCAATTCGCTAATCGCTAAATCCATTCCTTTTATTATTAGCTAGTAAACAAAAATATGGGAGAACACCAGAACAAGCACTTTCTGGTTTTTCCCAGTGTATCCTCAGTCAGAAATATCGTTTCACTTTATTATAGGCACAAAGCAAATAGGTGCTTTAAATTAAAAATAATAATAATAAAATAAACACTGTCAAATGAGAGAAGATTTCTTTTAGACCGATCAGCTTCCCCCCACCCTCCTTTGGAAGTGGTAATTATTAACAAACATATTAGAGTCTTCACGTGTTTAATTATCCATCAATCTTTATTCTTTAGATATTCAAATTCCTTGACCTATCTTAACAACAAATCAAAACAAACCTCGTAAAGAAGACAGTGACCCTGAATCCCTTAATCGTAATCTAATTGCCATGAAGCCAGATCCAAAGCGACTCTAATCTCGCAAATAGATCCTGCTATTAGCTCGCTGATGGATCGTAGCCGACGAGCTCATGTTTTCCCGCGAGGCAGCGAGTGGAACGCTATTGAAAGAGGGATAGTGCGGTCTGGGCAAAGTAAAATCAAAGCCGGTGATGTTGAGGGCTTCGTTCTGGCTAGGGGCATTGGAATCGTTTGCTTAGTACGAACGTGAACCGAAATTGGGACGGATACAGTGACCAATCCTCAGTAGTCACGCTGTTTTATTAATTTGTTTATTAAATAATGAGAAAATTTTTATCTCTATCTTTATATTTTTTTATATTATTATTATTATTATTATTAAAAAATTAATTATTTAATTTTTATAATTTTAATTAAATTATAACTCAATTTTTATAATTTATAACTCGTAATATAATTTTTATAGTTTTAATTCAATTCTAAATTTTATCTTTTATAAGTCAATTTTAATAATTTTAATTATTTAAATATTAATTTATATATTTTAAAAAAAATTTGATAGATGAAAACTATTTTAAAATTTTAATATTCATAATATTTATAAAAATTAAGAGATTTTAGTAATTTAAAATATTAATAATAAATTTTAACATAATTTTAATCATTATAATTATATTTTTTTAAGATATAAAAATTAATATTTAAATTATTAAAAATATAAAAATTGATTAGCAAGAATTAAAATTTAAAAAATTGAGTTACAACCTAATCAAAATTTTAATGATTAAATTATAATAAATTAAAATTTAAAAATTATAATTATAATTAAATTAAAATTATAAAAATTAAAGAAGTTTTTGCACATATTATAGAACTATGTAAAAGAAATAGCCTTTCTTTTTTTAAATTTTAAAAATTTTATTTTTAATATTTAGTTGATATATAATTTACAGAACTATCTTTTTGAAATTATAATACTCTGTTTTTTATAAATACCATTATACTAGAATAGACTCAAAATGTAAAAAAGTAGGTGAACGTGAGAGACGAACGTGAACTACAGTCACAACAGAAGAAACAAGTAAATCAAACTCAAAGATAGAAAAAAGCAAAAACAGTGTGAGTGAGCCACAATCACAACAATAAAAGACAAACACAAGGCCAAAGACATCAAAATTAGATGAAACGGAGCACGCCAATGGAAAAACAGAGCTATAGAATTTTTTATCGTCTGTGTTTGATCCATTTTAAGTAAATGATTATGTGTTTTTCATGTTATTAATATATAATATTATATCATTGATATACAGCCGTATATCAATAATAAACAAATTTATGTCTGATTTTTTAGTTATGTTGATTTGTAAAAATATATTGTATATCATTGATATACTATTATAAATTAAAAATACAAAAATAACATAATTATTTGTCCAAAATAGATCAAACTAGGTTGGTAAAAAATTCTAAACACCTTAATTTATCATAAAAAATCAAATATCTAAAATAATAAATTAAAAATCATGAACAGTAAGAGAATAATATATGTTTTCTATTAGTAATTCAAACAAATTTCATGATCAATGATAACATATAATAAATTATGAACAAATAATTTATTGATTTAGCAAATATATCACCTAGATAAATAAAGATGATGAAAATTTGATAATAGATAATATTCTTTAGCTTCCAGAAAACAGAATATAGGAGAACTTTAATTTGAATTTTGAACTACACAATGTAAAATGCAAAATCTAATGATGGAGTTTAGTCTTCATTGTCAAATTTCAATTTCGTAATATACCTAAGAAAAATAGAGAGGGAAAAAGAAGAAAAACACTAGCACATGAGACTTCCTCCTCTACAATGAAATAACAATTGTAAACATACAATTCAGTTAATTAATGATGAGTTACAAGAAATATATTGTATTTTAATAATATATTTATTTTGAGAATAAAAAAATCACTTTTAATTGATTTTATGAATGAGTCATATTTTAAAATATTCAAAAATTTTATCCATAATTTATGAAAACTGTATTTTTTGAGGCTATTGAGCTAATTTATTCAAGATTAATTGATTAATTTTTTTATTTTATTTTATTATATTTTGCAAAAGGCGTTGGGTGCAGCACTGTAGTTCTAAAATTGTATTCTAAAATAAAATAAAATCAGAGTATGTCTTACGGTAACTTTTGATTATTATAATTTTTAAAAAATATTTTTTAATGTGCTGATGTTCTACAATGCATTAGAGATATTAACAATTTTTTATATAAAACATGTTATTTATTTCCATTTTCTACCCACTAAAATCATTCTCAATTAAAAAAATATTTAATTATTCTTTTATGTTATAGCTACAAGTTTATAATTATTTAGATTGGATAATTCTATGCATACCTTCTAAATACTTTTTTTATAGTATGATTATGGACTTTAATATTTAATATTAATTTTAATATTAAAAATTAATCAATATCTGTATTCTCTTAATTTTTAATATTCCTGTCTTAATTCTCCTGTACATCACATGGGTATGAAGTCTACTTACTTTTAAGTCCGTGTAACATAATTCAATACTGCGAGATTTATCTCCCTCCTGTGTAAAATTACCGTCGAAGAACACTGTAATTCACTAAATCTACAATGATTAGCAATTGGTGGAAAAAAACGGGGGGTAGAATGACAGAAATGTTTCCAAACAATCACTTAATTCAAATTAAATCTGAATTTTATAAATTTATAATTTAATTTTTTAATTTTATAACTTGTATTTTGAATTTTAATAAAAAAATAATTTTTTTATTTTTCAATCATATTAAAATTTAAAAAATAAGTAATAAATTTATCACAACGTAATTAAAAAATTGAGTTATAAATTTTTAAAAATTAACACTTAAAATTTAATTTAAATTAATCAATAATTTTAAAATTTCTTTATCATTCTTTAAAAAAAAAAAAAGAGTCTAAAAAGATATGTGGGCTAAGGACGGAAAGAAATTTTGGACCCACATTTGTTCCCCTCATCTTATGTGTCATGGCCTTTTTTTTTAAAAAAAAAGTTGAGACTAATCTGGATCCCCGCTTAACGTGTCTTCTTTGAGGTGGTTCTCACAGGTAGTGCCTTTTAGTTATTCTAATATCTTTTTTCTTCTACTTAGTTTTAAACATTTTATAATTCCATTTTTTTATTTTTCTTAAAAAAATTTAAATTCATTAAAATATTTATTTTGTCCTGCTTCTTCATTACCTTTGAGTCAAATAAAAGATTAATGTCTCCTGCATCACAAGGAGTCTTAAATCTAGTTGTCACAAAATGATGATAATTTTGGCAAAAAAAAAAAAACAAAATGATGATAATAAAAGACATCATGAATCATGAATTATTAATGAACCTCATCATATTCAATTTTTCTCTGAAAAATTTAAATGCAATTCTTGTAATAGATAATTTAGGTGACTTGCCTAGGATGTGTGACTTGGGAGGATGAGAACTTTCATTACCAAGTTTTGTTGAAATTGATAATAATTAATAATTCCTATCTGATAATTTTGAAATTAAATTAACATAAATTGAAAACAAATTCTGTTTCAAGAATATTTTCCTCAAACCACAATATAAAATATCATAGGCGTTGGATAGGTGTTATATATTGAATGTAAAAAAATATAAAGTGTTTATAGTGTTTTCATATGTAATCATTGTAGATCTTAATATTTCAATTTATATGTATAATAAAATATGATAGAATAAAGTAATTCATGCATACCTGAAGAATCCATGAGTGCTAGAGAAATCTTGATTATCTCGAGTATGGGCAGGTACACAACCCACAGGTCCCCAGAGCTTTCAGAGAGTTCAGAGATAATGGAAGTAGAAGAAAATGAGTCATGTGTATGCAGTTATTGACTGATCGACTTATATAGATCAGATATGTAACCGCCTTATTAAATAATTAAATAATTATATTATCTATTATCTCTGACTCAGTCAGTTAAAAGATAAGAAATAACTGACGGCTACTGGGTTGTGGGTTGGGCCTCTGCCCATTAGGCTCACTTGTGTGGTCCACCTATCACGGTCCACACAAGATCATAAAGACCAATCTATTGGGCTTGTTAATTAATGTTAATTCATAAATAATATTCCAACAATCTCCCACCTAGATTGCATTAATTAAGCAAGTTGTATAAACAAACCACAAACAAAATTTAGAAAATGAAACTCCACAAAATCACTGAATCCTATGGGGAAACAAGTGATATGATATCTCATAATCTGAATAAAATACAAAATTTTTATTCCAAACACAGTTCAGTAAAATAATAACATAAATCACTGATTCCTATGGGGAAACAAGTGACATGCATAGCATACTACAACAGAATAATTGAATCCTATAGGGATACAAATGATATAGACGCATCTAACTGAACTAGACATAACTCACAGAAAAAAACAAAGCCTAAAGAGAAATTGCAATATAAAAGGTTCTCAAACTCCTACTAAACTAGGGCATCAAAGGAATTCACAATACCCATGCAAGTTACATGATGTTGAAAAACTTCTACAGGTAAGCCCTTAGTTAGCGGATCTGCAAGCATCTGCGTGCCAAGAATGTGTACCACACGGGTTTGAGACTCAGCAATTTTCTCTTTCACGAACATAAGTTTGATATTAAAATGCTTTATATGACTAGAATTTCTGTGATTGTTAGCATAGTATACTGCAGATTCGTTATCACAATAAATGGTTAGAGGACGTGATATTGACTCAACTAGGTGCATGCTAGATATCAACTTCCTCAGCCATATAGCATGACGTGTAGTCTCAAAACAAGCAACATACTCAGCTTCCATAGATGAAACTGCTGTAAGTGTCTGTTTCACACTCTTCCAAGAGACAGCTCCTCCAGACAACATGAAAATATAGCCAGTCGTGGATTTACGATCATCCAGACAAGAGGCAAAATCTAAATTTGAGAAGCCAACAATCTCAAGATCTTTTGATCCCTTAAAGTCATAATCAAAATACCCAACAACCTTAAGAGAATTTGACCTTCTGTAAGTCAACATATGATTCTTCGTACCTTGAAAATACCTCATAACTTTCTTAGCAGCCTTCCAATGATTCGGACCTGGATCATTTAAGTATCAACCTAGCACTCCAATGGCAAAGGCTATATCTGGGTGAGTACACACTTGAACATACATAAGGCTGTCGACAGCAGAAGCGTATGGTATCTTTCTCATTTTAGCCCTCTTCTTATCATCCTTGGGATACTGTAACTCTGACAACAGCTCACCTTTCTGTACAGGAGCAGGTGAAGGGGAACATGAATCCATTCTGAATCTCTTAAGTACCCGCTCAATATAAATGGCTTGTGATAAACCAAGAATACCATGAGATCTATCACGATGAATCTGTATCCCAAGAACAAAGGAGGCTTCACCCATGTCCTTCATGTCAAAATGACAAGACAATAGGTGCTTTATCTCATTGAGGAAATTTATTGAATTATTGGCTAATAAGATATCATCAACATAGAGAATAAGAATGGCAAAATTGTTCCTATCAAACTTTTGGTAGATGCACTGATCTGAGACATTCTCAACAAAACTGAGAGAGGTGATAACTTCATCAAATTTTAGATACCACTGCTTAGAGGCCTATTTTAGCCCATAAATGGATCTCTTTAATCTGCACACTAGATGTTCTTTACTGAATTCGACAAAACCATCAGGTTGTGTCATGTAGACTTCTTCATACAAATTGCCATTCAAGAACGCAGTCTTGACATCCATCTGGTGAAGATCAAGATCAAGCTGTGCAACTAAAGCCATTACCACTCTAAAAGCATCTTTGGTGGATACCGAAGAGAAGGTTTCTGTGTAATCAATACCTTCTTTTTGGTTGTAGCCTTTAGCTACAAGTCTGGCTTTATATCTATCAATTTCACCTCTAGCTCCTCATTTTGTTTTAAAGACCTACTTGCAACCCACTGGTTTAAACCCCTTTGGTAGCTCTACAAGCTCCCATACGTGATTGCGGTACATAGAGGCAATTTCTTCACTCATAGCCTCCAACCATTCAGGAGAATGCAAGCTAGAAATAGCCTCTTGGTAACATATTGGGTTTAAGCTATCAATAGCATTTGAATCAAACTCCTGCAAATACACCATGTAATCATTTGGAATAGCAGACCTGCAAACCCTTTAGGACTGTCTCGGTTCAACAACCATATCCCTATCACCCTCTAAAGGTGGTTCATCTTGAGCTTCATTCTGATCCACGGCATTATTTCTGTCAACATGAGGAGTTGTCAAGATAGGCATAAGCAAAATGCTACTTTCGTCATGCAAAGTAATATGCCTAGGCACAGAGCTTCCACTGTCTAAGGCATCTTCAAAGAAGTAAGCTCGGTCAAATTCAATTATCCTAGTAGTGTGATTTGGACAATAGAATCTGTACCCATGAGATTCGATGCAATAGCTAATAAAGAAACCATCAACAGTTTTAGCATCAAGCTTCATCTGTTGTGGATTGTAAGGTTTTACCTCTGCTTTACAACCCCAAACTCACATATGTTTTAGTGCAGGAGTCCTTACAAAATACAACTCATATGGAGTCTTTGGAACTGACTTGCTAGGAACTTGATTCAAAATATAAACAGCAGTTTTAAGTGCATCACCCCACAAGAATTCCGGCAGTGAGGAGTGACTGATCATGCTCCTAACTATATCCATGAGAGTATGATTTTGCCTTTCTGCAACCCCATTTTGCTGTTGGGTGCCAGGCATAGTATACTGAGCTTCAATGCCATGTTCTTGAAGGTACAAAGCAAATGGCCCAGGGTTCCTGCCAGTCTCAGTATATCTCCCATAAAATTCTCCTCCTCTATCAGATCTCACACACTTGATCAACTTGTGAAATTTCAATTCGACTGCTGCTTTAAAGGTCGTGAATGCATTAAGGGACTCGCCCTTTTCGCACAAGAGTTCAATCCATCCATGACGTGATAGGTCAGAGATATCAATATGGATTAGGTCTAAAGTGTTTTCAGACCTCTTTACCCCTTTGGTTCTAGCTCTAGTAGGGAATTTTCCCTTTATACAGTCAACACAAGTCTCAAAATCTGAGAAATCAAGGTCTCGTAAGACACCTTGCTTGATCATGCACTCCAATCTCTCTCTAGAGATATGACCCAAAAGACGATGCCATAACATAGAGGAATTATCATTGGGCCTTTGACGTTTATGCCTAATAGTAGCATTGATATGGAGATTAGGAAGTTCAAGTGACCAATCATTCAATCGATATAAACCATATATCAAGGAAGCGACACCAACATTAATGGAATCAAAACAAATGTCAATTTTACTGTGGAATAAGTTACACTGTATGGCCCCCAATATTAGAGATCCTTGGTTAATATTAGGGGACTTTAATGATATCTCTTCAAGTTTCGAGCTCACAGGTGGATCAACTGGCTCTAGTTCAAGAATAAGATGGTTCCAAGACTAAATTTAGAGCTGTGCGTTCACAGATATCTAGGGAGTGTAGGTCCTAAATTCACTTGGAAAGGGCCTCGTTTATCAGGTTTCAATCGCCTTTATGAACTTTGGATCGAGCACTCGCTAATACATCTTTCTTTATTGAATTTTAACATTGCACAGTTAAGGTAATCCCTAGAACTAATTTTTCAGATCATAACCCTTTATTTTTCCATTTCCTTGAAAGAATGAATAGCCACAAATATCCAATTCAGAAGTTGAAATTAAATTTCTCTTCGCAGAAGGTACATAAACAACATTGTTCAAATGCAAAACATGACCAGAATTTAAATATAAAGAAGCAGTTTCAATGTATTCAACTAATACCTTGCTCCCTGCTATGTCAAAGACTGACTTCTGTGCCTCACTTGGAACCTTCTAGTTTCTTAGCCCCTGTAGAGAATTCACAACATGTACAGTGGCACCAGAATCCAGCCACCATGAGTCAAAGGAAGTTTTAATGGTGTTAGATTCAAAACAAACTAGAGCTAGAGGGGCAGTTTGAAGAGTTGTACCTTTACTTTCTTGTTTGTTCTTCAATTTGAAGCAATTAGCTTTAATGTGACCCGGTTTCTTGCAATAATTGCATAACTCTTTAAAGGGTTTCTTCCTCAACTTCTCACTCTTATCACCATCCTTCTTAAAGTTTGGATTATTAGGCTTTAGGGCATCATGCTTCTTTCCCTTTTTCTTATATGACCCTCCAGATTTGCTGCTAGAGCCATGAGAAACATAGTTTATTAAGTGAGAGGAATTCTTCTTCATAGCTTCCTCTTCTTGAGTGACTATCGATATCATCTGGTCAACAGACCATTCAGCTTCTTGTGAATTATATGAAGTCCTCAAGAATGCGTACTCTGATGGCAGTGATTGAAGAACACGGTAAACCAAGGTACTTGCACCCAAATCAATCCCATATAACTTAAGCTTGTTATAGTAATGAACAAGCTTCAGAATGTGCTCCTTGACACCAGAAACTCCATCATATCGAGTATTGTCAAGAAATGACAGATAGTAGTTCTTTTGAGTCTTGTCAAGCTTCTTGTATTTGTTACCAATAGCTTTCAAGTACTCCACTGTAGTATCATTTTTAGGAATGTTGTCCCTAATTTTCTTTTCAATTGTGTACTTGATGATCGCTAGACAGATCCGGTTGGACTCACTCCATTATTTATGGAAGGCTATTTCAGAAGCACTGGACTCGGAAGAGAGATCCATAGGCTTGGGCTCTCTCAGAGCTAAATCTTTCTCAGAAATAGTTAGATACATATTGAGGGACTCTTTCCAGTCATCATAGTTAGTCCCATTGAGAGCCTTCACAAAGGATAGTTGCGTAAAAGCAGAAACTAAAATCGCAAAACAGAAAATAGGAAATATTAATTATGCGTGCATAACATAATTATAAAACAGAATTCCCCAACAAGTGATTATCAATTATGCAACTATAACCATACACCAAGAAGGCTCATATACCATAAAGATTTAGCTCACATAAAAGTCCATACAAAATAATGCATTAAACATTTTCATACCTATAGGGTACAATAAATATCTAATACATTAAAGGAGTGCTATTAGCCTATTCTCAAAGCCAACCATCAAAATCACATTACTAATGTCATACCTATGGGGTATGTCCATTATCAATGCTACAAGATCCTAAACGTCATCAATAATTTACAAAGTCGTAAACTTTATGACTTTAGGACAAAACAAAATAATTTTAAAGTCCTTAAGGTCTTTTGAGAATTAAGGAACAAATTTAGGACTTGAGTGAAATTTTTTTGAAAGGTTATCAAGGGCAAATAAGTAATTTTGAAAGTGATTTGGGTCAAATTTGAAATTCTGGAAGTTAAGGGACTATACTATAATTTACAAAAATACCTTGGGGCTAATACGTAAATTAAATAAATTATGGGCCAAAAAGAGGTAATTTAAAACTGGGGCCGAAACGTAATTAACAAAAATATTTATATTGCCCACGGTGAGCTGTGCTGAGTCTTGATATCAAGGCGGCCACGAAGAGCTGGGGTAATGTCATTTAAATTTATTCTATTAAGTATGTTTAAAAATAATATACTCTATTAAAATAATATTTTTTTTATTTTTTGCCTGAGCTTTTACCCTTTTAATTTCAGAAGCCTTTAAGTTTATTCAATTTTTTTCCCTTTTTTCTTCTTCTTATTCTTTTCTCTTTTCTTTTCTTTTTATTTTTATATTAAGTATATTTAAAGATAGTATATTTTAATTTAAGTCATTTGACTAAATATTTCCTAAACTTTATATATCATGATTCATTTTTTAATTTTTTAAATGTGAGATTTCTTCTTATACTCTAATCATGCCAAATGCTCTTGACATATTGAGAAGGACGGTGTCAAGAAATTATGGTGACAGAAACGATTGCCCTTTTGAATAAATTGAGAGCTGCAAGGGAACCAATATTGGAGATGATATCGTTCCTGGTATGGGCGAAGTTATCCATCCGTGCATCGAAGTTGATTCGTCCACCCTGTGAATATATAAGCGAATTATTAATCATCTAATCAAGGTTCAGAAGTTGGTGATGGAGCTAGTAATTAACACACACATACACCTATATAAGATGAAACAGAGGAAAAGAAAAACGTACGTACGAAGATTTTTCCAGTGCCATTGAGAATTCCAGCACCCCCAGAGGCATAATTGACACCACGAAGAACCACTGGCCCAGATGCAGTGGCTGCCAAGTATGGTGGAGTATAACCCATGTCTAGTTCTTGTCCTGTTATATTGTTATCACATCTACATTAAACTCAGATGTACAAATTGTTTGAATATCAACAGAATAGTAATCTAGAAGCGGAACTTTTCCATTTTCTTATCATTAATTCCTCTTCACTTCGCTAATATTTAACAATTGACATGGAATCTATTTTAGCCTTAAATTTGAGATGAATGCATGGTTATGGTTAGAGAAGTGAAGAGAAAATGGTGATAAGAAAATAGGTTATGTGCCTCTTAAGGGTGAATTTAGGATTTGACATTAGTTGAGAGGAAAGTTTTAAGGATATAGAGAGGGAACAGAGTTTAATTATATTGTTTATCAGGTCCAAATATGTCTCCATCATATATTTAGCTTGACATGAAAAATTTGCATCCACGACTGGAATAGATGAGAGTAAATTAAATTTAAAAGAAATGCCGCATGTCACGTCTTGAAAATATCATGCACAACTTCCATCTTCATGTGCACTTCTCTTATTTTTCAAAGAACCGTTCCCGTTCCCGTCAACAATTTTAACATTGATAGATGACATAGCCACTATTAATTTTAATTAAAAAATATTGATATCTTCAGCCTTGATAAATTATAATAAACATTAATATTCAGAAGCCATTGGTGCAACACAAGACACGAAAAGAAACGTTTGCTGTCATTTGATACCTATGATATCGACGATGGTTTTGCCATTAGTGAAGCGTCCAGTGGGTATACCAAAATCGATGCTGCGTGGGAAGAAGTTGGCCTTGGAGAGGGAAAGAAGGTAATTGTTGTTTCCAGCATCAACAAGAGAATCCCCAAACACGAAATTTGCAGGTGCCTCCTTTGAAACGCTCATTCCCAATAGCACGCCCAAAACTGTGAAACCACCAATCACGGTCTTAAGCCTCACTGATCTATCCATCTTTTTCACTACCGAAGAATGAACAGCAAGTATGTGTATAGGAAACTGCAGAGGAACTCCTGAGCTTGGAGCTTAATGAGGAAATTAAAAGTCTATTCATTATTTGAATGATATGGAGAAAGAAAGCTTACATTCTGTATTAAATGACCTTTGAAATGAGCAACTACCATGTGATTATATTTGGTGTCTCTATTTGTTTTTCTGTGAATCAATGGAATCCGTGCATTTTCTGATAAACTTCTCAATAGTAAAATTACTATCCTCTAGTTAGTAGTTAGCTTCATAGAGTTTAACATGACAAGACATGAGCATGTACTACATTTTCCTTGTTAATAGGCGCCATACTATGGCCTTCCTATGACAATAAGTCTTACGGTTATTATATAACGTCAAAACTTGCCCATAGCCAATCCATGAGTATCCCTTTTAAAATTAAAAAAAAGTAATCAATTCACACAGTTTTAAAGAAGTTGGTTAAGCATGTGTTTGAAATTAAAAAAAATTGGACTAAATTATCATTATAATTAATTAAATAAATTTGTCTACTGAAAATAAACATTGACTTTATAAAGGACAATTAGAGATAAATCCTCCTTAAAACTTGTAACTTTGCTTATAAATAAAAACAGAGAGGCACATAATAGTTTTTCTTATATTTAAAAATAAAAAAAGTAGTATTATTTCATTTCTATTTATAAAAAAAACTATCTTTTTTTCATATAAACAAAATCACTTATTTTAATAAACATTTATGACATATTTCCTAAATCATTCCTCATAATTTACATTAATAAAAAATAATTAATGCATATTTATATTAATTAACATAGGGCACTTTAATTCAATTTCTTTATTTTCAGATATAATTATTATGCTTAACTAATTTTTTAAAATGATATGATATAATTCTTTTCTCTTATATATAGATGGGGGAGTGTTATTTAAGTTCATCCACAATCCAGACAATTGGATATCATTGGCCGACCTATTGTTCATAATGAGACAATGAGAAGTTGTTGCATTGTGCGGAGCTCAAAACCGATGAACTTTCATGTCCAATTCAAGTTAATGCATTTCACATTAGAACTTGCTTCTTTTACTGTTTAAGGTTAATTACAGGCAGAATCAAACCCGCAACTCCCCCTTATAAAGAGTTAATATGCTATTAAGTTACAAGACAATTGGTTTATTATAACATACATCATTACATGTGGGGAAAACCCAAGCAAGTTGCCATGTTTTTTTACGAAAGCTTGAGATTTTAAACGAATCTTTTGGAGTTAATGTCAACTAAAAATTCAAAATAAAAAGTCGTAAGAAAGAAGATGAAGCTCACTGCTATTTTATAATTCTAATTAATTTATTTGATTTTTATCTGAAAAAAATAATTTAGTTTATCTTCTTTTTTTCCTTCAAATTTAGACTAACATAAGTTTAAAAATGGGATCAATAAGTTTGTGGCTTCTCTAGATGAAATGCAAATGTATATACTCATTCTTTCTTAAATTATAAGATATTTTTTTAAAAAAATCTCACAGCTCTTTAAATACATTTTAGAACTTTATTTTTTTAAGATAAAAATATAAATTTTTAAAAATATTTTTTATTTAATGAAAAATATTAAAAAAAGAGAATATATTAAAGAGAGAGATTACAGTGATTCTCGTAACTGCATTTATGTGCATATGTAAGTGCTGTAGAGATGAATAAAATAACTTCACCTTCAATCATTATTTCATTTTCCATATCATCTTTAAACAGTGAAAATATAATAAGATCACAACTAGGGTCACTTATAACGCAGGTCGATTAATGCGTTTCCATAAGATTAAGATCTCTTTCTCTGATCCATACTTCTAAACTTCTTGTAAATCCTTACATTAATTCCGAACTCGACTACAAGACAAATCTAACATATACTCCCCCCATCCAAAATATAAGTAGCTTTTTTTAAAAAAAAATCATATGTCAATAAAGTTCTCTTCTATAAAAACATATACTCCCTCTATCTTAAATTATAGAACACTTTTAAAGAAGTTTCTTCATCTCAAAATATAAAACATTTTGAGTGAATTAAGGTTTTATTAAATGTACCGTTTTTAATATTATTCTTTCTCTTTTATAATTAATTTTCGTTCATTTTTAAAAGTTTATATTTTTGTTTTAAAAAAATAAGGTTGTTAAGTATATTTAATGAGATTTATTGGTATGTGAGATTTTATTTAAAATTTTTTTTATAATTTAAGACATAGGGAGTATTGTTTTTCCTTTTTACCTCTAGTCCTGATTATCAATGCACTCCATAATAAATGATAAATACATTTACAAAAATATGTAAATTAATAAATATAAAAAATAAAATAAAAAAATTATATATATTAGATTGCTTTTACTTTAAATTAAAATTAGTTGAGAAAAAAATACTTATAACCTTATATTTTAGATCGGAGGTAGTATATAACTCGGCCAACCTCCAAACGAATGAAATCATGGGCACGCGGTACAGTAACTTCATTAATCTTGATCAGTAGGCAATGAATTGATTCGACCACTGACCAAGTTAGTAAAGTACATACTTAAATGCTTAATTAAAGATGCAGCTCGTTAATGCTCATCCCATTTTCAGACAGTGAAAACCCTGCACGCAGAGAGCAAAATTTCCTGCAATTCGATGTGTGTTCACAACTACTCATACTCCATCCACCCAGTTAATATTATTAAACTTTTTTTTTAAAATATCATGTTAAAAATATAAAGTATTTTAAAATTTTAATATGCAATTATTAATAAGGTTTATTAAAAATACTCTTAATTAGGGATAATTAATAATATTTTTTAATTGAAATATCCTATTAATAAAAATAAATATAAAAAGAGAGGGCTATTTTAAAGACAATTAACTAACTTATGAAAATGTGTAATTTAACTAAAAGATGTCTTATACTACTGGACACGTGTATATATATATATATATATATATGAGAAAATTGACTTTTGGTTATTGATTTTTTTTTAATTATCAATCTAGTCTTTAATTTTTAACTCAAAACAACTCAATTCTTAATTTATTGGCTTGAAACAACTTAATTTGTATAATTTTTTAACTCAGAAAATTATAAAAACTTAGTTGCAATGGACTAAAATTTAAGGGTAGATCAATAATTTAAAGAAAAATTAGAAATTTAAAATTATATTATTAGCTTCACCTATGAATAGTGATTAATTGTATGCAAAAAGTTATGTTATTAATTCTCCTCTCTCCCCCTCCTTGTGTGTGTATGTATGTATAAAAATTTCTAGAAAAATGAAACTGGTAAGCTTGAAGATTGTTCCATTGTGATTTACTCTCTCTCTAGTTTAAAATATAATTATTGTTTAATACTAATCTGTATGCCAATTAAAATTTTTATTCAATTGTGATAATATATATTGTTTTTTATTATTAGTTTCAATTTATAATGAGTGGGAAAAAAGACATAAATTTACAAACATAAAAATTCAGCTTAATAAACACAAGGGATAGTGGAATTTTTTTTCACAATTGCTAAGTCATTTATATTTCAGGCTAAGGTTAGCCAAGAGAAAATGTGCTTATGTTATGGACTAGATGAAGTGTTTATTATTCCCTCATTCAAAATTAAGGTACTTTTAATTGAATTACACTCACAATGAATAAGTCGATTGTATTTGAAATTACACTTTCTTTGCATGTTCACCCCTTATTTAGCAGTAGAGTTGTTAATTAGAGACGGAACAGCCCTTCAGGGTTTAAACAAGCTAACCTTATTAAACTTAATTGTATCTCAGTATTTCATTTTGATCAGCCCTCCTTGGCCCTTAGAGCTGAAGAGCCGGCCTCAGTGCCTTGGCCTTATATTTTTCTTCTTCTATTTTTCAATTTAAAAAATGTATTTAAAATCCTAAAAAAATTATTACAGATACATTAATTCTAGGAAAACAAATTTAAATCAATTCATACAACAATAAATTTAAATCTAATAAAAAACAACAACATCACAAAATCAACACAAATAACAATCAGACTTTACTAGCATCATCAATTAAATATTGATAATTTTTATCATCAACATTAATATAATTTGATTCTTCTCCTCATAAAGCCTCATCAATGGCAAATATATTAAGCTTTTCATATTTTTTCTTTATCATCGTAAAATGAGGTTAAAGTTTTAGAATCAATGTAATATTTAATTTTTTAATATTAAAATTTTTAAAAAAATTATAAAAGGGACTTAAAAGAGTAGGCTCTAGCCCTAAAAGGGCTAACTCTTTTATTTTAAGATTTAAATTGATTCTTTTATTTTAAGACTTAAAAGTGTCAACCTTTTTATGTTTGAATTGTTATTTTACACTTTAAAGTAGCGATCTAACTCTAATTTTTTTTTTTGGGTTTAAAGGGGTTGAGATTGATGGTTCTATTTAGTAGGGTGTTTTAATTAAAAAAGCTTATTAACTATATCCCTTAATTAAAGATATTTTTGGTAAAATTTCATTAAATACATCTTGAAAAACTTATAATATCTTATATTTTTTAACATCTTACTTTACAAAAGAGAGTAGTGGTAATTAAAACTAGCCATGCATGTATAAAATATGAATGCTACTAGAGTTGGCTTTCTCTCCATCTGCATGTCACCCTTGTGGCCGATGTTTAGGTTGCTTGGGGAAATTTATAACATTTTTAGGTTTGTTGAAATCTTACAAACTACAACAAAAAATAGAATTTAACGACAAAAATAAGCAAAGTCTTGTATATGAAGGTTTTTGTCAGAAGAAGAGACAAACTTAAAAAGGAGAATGGGACAAGTTGATCGATCAGTACCCAGACCTCTTTTTTCAGGCAATGTGAGTCTGGACTTTGGACTTGAACATTGAAAGGAAAAAAAAAAAAAAACGAACTCAGACTCAGACTGCAATTGTGAACAAGTTATTATTTTTCTAAGGTATTCAACACTTTTTTTTTTAATGAATTCATCCTGTAGTAAAGCCACATATATAATTTGTGGCAAAAAGGTATATTTATATGTATGATTTACGGACAAGATGTTTTGTCTTTATGGAAGGCAATTGGTCTCTATACGCATGAAATTTAAAATTTCTCTACTCTTTTGACTTCGTTATATTACGCCAAGGTGGCATCAAGTAAGTCCACTAATATAGTAGAGTAACAATCCCCTATTGATTCCTTTATGACAATGTTGTATTATTACATTTCAAGGATACACATCAAATCTTGAGATTGCAAATCAGAATTAATTACCACACATTTGCATCTTAATGAAAAGAGATCTAGTGTATCGCATGGCACTATCTGTTCGTGGGCATACCACACACGTAAGGAATTAGCCAGCCAAACTTGTGTTTATTACAATCCAAAACTAATCGATTTCAGACTTTTTACAATCATGCTGTGAACTGTTAATACAAATAAACAAGAGAGTGGCATGCAGATAAAAAGTAGAAGTGAGTATTATCCATGACCTCACTTCTTCTCTTTATCGATCTCTTATTCTCTCGTGTTCTCTTGACAAGTACGTACTTGTATCCATCATGCATTCACATAATCTCACGCACACGCAAATACACGGATTATTTATTGGAAGAATTTGATTCAAGATTTACCACCAACTGATCCAGCAGTAACATTATTGTCCCCGCCACCGCTGGCACTCGCATATTTGTTACCATGGTTCACACCTGTCTCAACGGCGCCGCTGCCACTGGTGCAGTTGCTTCCACCGTTTCCGCCGCTGGAGCCTATCCCGCCGATACTTATACCTATACTTAAGCCCCCGCTACCTCCATTGTCCCCATTGTCACCACATCCGCCATTGTCACCACCACTAGGCTCACCTCCATAGCTTCCATCTCCTCCTCCCTCGTAACCTCCTCCATTTCCTCCTTCATCGCCACCTCCTGCGTAACCTCCTCCATTTCCTCCTCCGCAGTCACAACCTGCTCCTCCGGCGTAACCTCCTTCACAACCACTACCACAACCTTTTCCTCCTTCATCCCCTCCTCCTTCATAACCTCCTCCACTTCCACATCCTCCGCCATAGCCCCCTCCGCTTCCATCACAACCTCCTCCTTCTCCTCCATTCCCTCCCGCGTAACCTCCTCCACTTCCTTCTCCTCCGCCCCCTCCGGTGTAACCTCCTCCACTTCCTCCTCCGCTTCCACAGCCTTCTCCCCCTCCGGCGTAGCCTCCTCCACTTCCACAGCTTGATCCTTCTCCTCCTCCACCTCCGGTGTAACCTCCTCCACTTCCTTCTCCGTTTCCACAACCTTCTCCTCCGGCATACCCGCCTCCGCTTCCACAACCTTTCCCTTCTCCTCCTCCACCTCCGGCGTAACCTCCTCCACTTCCTTCTCCCTTTCCACAACCTTCTCCTCCTCCGGCATACCCGCCTCCGCTTCCACAACCTTTCCCTTCTCCTCCTCCACCTCCGGCGTAACCTCCTCCACTTCCTTCTCCCTTTCCACAACCTTCTCCTCCTCCGGCATACCCGCCTCCGCTTCCACAACCTTCTCCTTCTCCTCCTCCACCTCCGGCGTAACCTCCTCCACTTCCTTCTCCCTTTCCACAACCTTCTCCTCCTCCGGCATACGCGCCTCCGCTTCCACAACCTTCTCCTCCTCCTCCTCCTCCTCCACCTCCGGCGTAACCTCCTCCACTTCCTTCTCCCTTTCCACAACCTTCTCCTCCTCCGGCATACCCACCTCCGCTTCCACAACCTTCTCCTTCTCCTCCTCCACCTCCGGCGCCGTAACCTCCTCCATTTCCTTCTCCACTTCCACAGCCTCCTCCTCCTCCTCCTCCATTTCCCCCTCCAGCGTAACCTTCTCCGCTTCCTCCTCCTTGCCCACTTCCATAGCCACTACCATCACCACCTTCACTTCCGTTACCATAGCTTCCATAACCAGGAGTCACACCTTCAGTGCCATGAATCTCGCCAAGTTTGACTGATCTTCGACCCTCGGATATTCCTACAACCGCCATTAATATCACCACCAGGAGAGTCCCACTCACAAGATTTCTCATCTTTAATTAGAAAAACAGAGTAAATAAAGATCGATATTAATCGCTCGATTGGCGACTTAGTCTGGCGAACATCGCTCGCATTTATACTGACAATTACTGGGCCGTAGATCGTTTAACCATTAATGCATTTCGTTGAGCTCTCTTTTTCTGCGATCGAGACTGCTAAACTTCCACTCGTCCTTTCATTCCGAACAGGATTAGAAGACAGATTCTATATAGTCTGATCGACTCCCAACAAAACCTTGTCTCTTCTCTCAAGTACTTCAAGTGCTAATAACTGGCTGTGCACAACTCATGCAAGTTTCGACTATCTAAAACAAACTTGCTCGTATATCTATGATATATTTGAACTTGTCCAAGGAATTAATAGGATGCATCTAATTGACGTACATCCCGTTTTTAGTTACGAGAGCCGTGTACGTAGTAAATTTTTCTGTAATTCAGTGTCATTACAATGATGAGTAAGTAACAAAACAAATGGAAACAATGTCACTTATAAAATGGAACTGGCGGCCATGAAGCTCGTCCCACCATGTGGTTCACTTATAAGTCGTATTAAATATTAATGTAGCTTGCAACAAGGCTCTATATAGCACCCGAGCCCACCATGCCACCATCTAATCATAGTTAATTAGGTGGCATTTTGTCTTATAATTACAATGAATCAAAAGAGTGTGCCTAAGTTATTCATGCCTCTTCTAGAGGGTGGTTTGGCGTATATTATATATATATATATATATATATATTTATTGATATTAATATCGAGATTGGTGATATTGTCATTGTATATCACTTTTTCTTGGACAAATTTTTCTGTATCATCAGACTGGGCCTAAGTCTCTCTCTCTGGTTTTTTTTCTAAGAAAATAGAAAATTTCTAGGCTTAATAAAGCAAAGCACAATATCCAAAGTCAGATTTTATAAGGCCCAAGCCCGAAAAGGCCCAATCTCCATATATGGCACTGTGTGCTCAATAAGGCAACATCCTCCGAGGCAACGCAGCGAAGGTACCGGCAGCCTTCAAGTTTCGAGGCTCACGCTCATTTTCCGGTTCTCCTTGCTCAAGTGTCGCACTATCGTAGTCCTTCAGACCATCAACAAGGGTCTAGTTTTTTCTACTCTTAGGGCATATAAATCTACTCGCAATAGAGACTTTTATATTCCCTGTCTCGAATTTCTTTCGGGAACTTCTGTGGCAAAAAGCTGGAAAGAGGGAAGATGGAGGCTGCGGATGAGGGAGTAGAGAGGATTGAGGATTCCAAGGATTTACAGCAACAGAGCAAAGCGTTTGATAAGCTCACTGACCGTGTCGAGGATCGCCAGCTCGACTCCACTCGCGTCCAAGAGGTCCCTCCCCGTCTCCTTAATACTTGCTTTTTTATTCGATATTTTATTCTGAGAAATCAAAAATTGTAAGAATTCGTTAGTTAGTGGTGATGGAGGCTTGGTTTATAATGATTAGGGCAGGGCAGTGCGTTCCACTTAAATGGTTTTATGCGATGCTTTCTAACAGTTCTGTGATTTGGTAGGCCATGGCGTCCATTGCTGCATCGGCAGAAGCGGACTGGAATGCGATGCGTTTGAGGTAAACAGATGAGCTTGTTATTTTCCAGAAAACGGTTGAAGTCAGAAGTTCCTTTTTTTTTTTTTTGCAATCACCAACGCCATAATCCTTCTCTTTCAGTAAGTTGACATGGGGATGTTTTAACAAGTGGAGAGGCTTTTGGCATGCTCCTTTCCAATCACATGCTATTTTGCTTTCAAATATTTTAAATGCACCAAAATACCCTATTTCTAATCAAGAGATTCATGTTAGTATGTTAGATTTCACTTGACTACCTAATCACTTTTATTGCAAAATTGTTGCTGGATGTTTTGATCTGTTTTGACCAACACAAGTAATTGCTATGAAGTCTCTTCTTCATCATTATCTCTTAGTTTATTATTGTTATTCTTCTTGCTTTTTCTCTTTTATTACCCAATTCTCTGTCGTTTAATAAAAGTATGAGAATGGCATTTTGATAGATGAGATATGTAGAAAAAGACACTCTAATCTATCCCATCTGCGACAGGTTTATACCTTGCATTTAAATCTTTTGTGCTCCAAAATCAGTGGCTTGCAGTTATGATGGGTCATTAATATTTTGGCCAAGGCAATTAAAACCAAACCTGTCATTGAATTGGTAGGGGTACTAACGTACTAGTGTAAGTTTCATTGATCAGATTGTGGTAAAATCCATCATAATTAAATTAATATATTTTTCTAACTGAAATATTGATTATTCTAAAAATAATCTTGAAGTCTTGTTATTATCACACACATTACTACAAACAGTTTGCATAAAGCTAGTAAAAATATTACAAGCCTCGAGATATCATTAGTTTATTATAGCAATAATGCATGTCATTGTATATATGCATCTATGTTTGTATAGACATGAACCATGAACCCAAAAACCATGTTCATACAAATAGACTTAAACCAAGGTGTATGGACAACTAAGTTTTTATTTCATGAGTGGAATATGGAGACAGGACACAAATTATTATTATTTTTTTAAAGGGCCCTCCTAGCTAGATCCTGGTTAACTGAACCTAGGAGGGAAGTTGAGTGTTCATGATTAAGGAGGGGATAGAATTTGTAAATTGAAAAATGCTTTTTGAGTTCAATAACTGAAGGTGAGTATTACCTTGTCCCTCATTGCAAAGCGCAAGGAGTGAGAAACATGAGCTTATATAAGGGAAGAGGAGTGGGGGGTCTTTTTCATGCTTTGTGTTCTGGGTATTACTTTGTGGAAAAAACCCATGGTTTATCAATCTTCTCCTTTTAGTCCAAAATTAAATAACCAGCTCAAATTTGTGAACCAGTTTTATTGAAATCTGTCAGTGTTTTTACAGATGTACCTGTTTTTAAGTAGTTTTTTTTTTGGCAATTTTTTTGATGTTGGTTTTGGCTTAGTTCTAGACTGAACTTGTTACGGATTCATTAATGAATTGGATAATATGTTTCCATTTTTATTACCTTGATTTTGGCAAACTTTTAGGATACGTTGGATAAGATTGAGGGGCTGATGAAACATACCATAAACTATCACTTGGAGTAAGGTCTGTCTTTTTCCTTAGACTCACATCCCAGCTATGAATTTTGCTCTCCCCAGGGAGTCAAAGCCGCAAACCAAGATTAACATGGGTTTGTTAATCTTTGCATATTTCATACCAAGAAGGAGGCTTTAAAAACTTCCAGGCTTAACTGAATTTCCCTTAGGTGATAGAAATTTCATTGGCCAACAGCACAATCAAAATATGCATATTATCATCTTGAATTCCCAAGCTATTGGGCTTTTAATCTGAATTTGTAAATTTTATTTAAATTTTGCTGGTTAAAGATTCACATAAATCTGCAGAGTTTGAAGTTCCACCAATGTTTTTTCTGCGTTTGGTTGCTGACTTATCTGATTTTGATATTAGTTTGATGTTATGATTTACAAGTTTCTCTTTTTTTTTTTTTTGGGGGGGTTGGGGGTGGAATAAAAGCTCATCTTGAATATATCTTTCACCTGAGCCACTTTGTCTGAGACCCAAATACAAGCATGCTTGAACCAATTTGCATTTGGTAGTATGAGAAAAGCTTGTGTCAGCAGCGGAGCCATTGGGACACTAGAATAACATTCTTACCCGCTGATTTGGTGTCCCCAAATCCACATATCTTAGCAATTTTTCATCTTGAGCATTTTCTGAGTAACAAATCTTCAAAAGTGTCAGAAGTGCATCGATTCTATCTCCCAAAGTTGATTTGTGCAACTAAAACACATATTTATAGCTATTAAATCAAGTCTTAGTAGACAATCTCTGCTCTATTTAATCTGCACATGTCTTTCTTTTGTTCCCATGTTTGGATTAAAATCGCCAGTTAAATAACTTGCATTCTTTATGCAAACATATTTTCTCTTTAACTGCTAAATTGCTCATATCGTGTTGAACCACTTACCAGTCACCACGTTATTGACGCCTTAGTCTTGGTATGCAAATGTGAACTGTGAGCTTATATTCAAAATTCATTACTGTATGCTCTCACCACCCATTCTGTCGTTTGCAATATAAGTGTATGTATCAGTCAATTTTTTTATATCTTAAATCTAACTTCATTTTTATTTCATTACCAGGGAGAAAGAACTGGCTGCTGTTAAGATAAATGCAGCTGATGTTGACATAATTGCAAATGAACTAGAGGTAACTTCATCTTGAACTTGAAGTTTCACAACTTTTTTAAGCTCATTCTGGTCTAAGATAGATTGGTAACTCTTCTTTAATGTGTTCAACAGTTGGACAAAAAGGTGGCTGAAAGAACCTTGCGTGAGCACAAAGGTGATGCTGTTGCTGCCATTAGGCATTTGCTTCGCTGAAGATTTGGGTCGAAATTTGGATCCTCAAATGTATACCATCAAATGTCTGATTTATTCAGGATTTTCATTTTTAATATTTTGGGGGTGGCAAATTAGATTTTTGCTTTAGTGACAAGTATTACGTGTTTTTAGGTGAAGCCCTGAAAGATCCGCTTTGTATTGAAATTTGCAACCTGCATGGTTTATTTACCAAATTTTGGGTTGAGCGGATGCTTTCTGCATTTCATTACATTTCTCAGACACAACCTTTAAAAGTTAGTATTAGTATTTAATATTTAATTGTCTCTCAATTTCAAATTATAAGATATTTTTGGAAGATTTAACATTTTAGAATATAAAATAATAAAGTTTTATTGAATAAGTTTATTACTTTTTCTCTATCTCTATTTAATTTTTATTCTCTCTTTTTTAAAATATCAAATGAAAGATATTTTTAAAAGTTTATATTTTTGTTTTGAAAAAAAGTAAGGTTATATTTAATTAGATTTGTCAGTATATAAGATTTTGTTTAAAAGTATCTTATAATTTGAGATTGAGGGGTATTAATAAATCAGAAGAAACAATGTTTGCTAGTAGAATGTGAAATGACATTTATTTTTTATTTTAAAATAAAAACAAATGTATTAAATGATACTAAAAATATGATAAAAATTTATCAAATTTTACGTTATGAGCCATGATATGCAAACTATAGATTTTGCATTTTACTGTAGTATACAGGCAATAGGAAGATGGCTATAAAGAAAGAAAAAAGAAAAGCACTGCCAATTGGTGGAATCTTTCTGCCGTTGTTTGTTGCCTTGTTGGAAAGTTTACAAGTGCTAAAGCTCTATAATACTCAATCGATCTAATCAGAGCTTGGAAAATTTTCCGCAACTGAAATTCTACAAGTTGCATGCAAAAGTTGGGGTTCAGACTCGTGGCCCCCAGCTTGTATTGCATCTATCTTCTATTGTCTTCTTTTTCGGCTTTCTGCTGCTTTGGGTGTGTTGGATTTCAATGATCAAAAGTTGATTAATACAACGTGATGATGTTTAAATAATATTTTTTAAAACTGATATACTAAATGAAAGAAAAATTAGATTTTGGAAAATGGAGTATGGGAAAATTGAAAGTAATTGGTTAGCTTCTGTAAAATAGAGTTTTAGGAACCAAATAGAATTTAAAAAAATTAGAGGTGTTTGAATTTTTTTTCTTTTTCGAAACTATAGTTTTGCACCCCATAATTAATTCCAGAGGAGTATCTAAACAGACCCATCAAATTGTCATTTCAGTTAAATGTATAATACATCAACCAAATTGCCAGAAGTTGCTTTGGCTATCTATCTCAATCATCATATCCACTTTATTAAGGCAATAAAGTTGTCGCGCAAAGACACAACGACGAGGTGAATAAATTCCCTCCATGACTATAATTCATAAGAACTATTGGTGCATAGTTCACCTAACTTGCTCACTTTGACTTGTTAATCATTATAGTTGGTCCAGAGTTCACTTTTAATTATGGATGGCATTGAGATTGAACAAGATAGATTTGTTAGTCTCTCCAGTCAAATTCATTTTTAATTTGTCTTATATCAATTATATAATTTTGAGAGTTTTTCTTATACTCAATTTAGACACGTTTCTTAACATATTGTTTGGAATTTAAAAAATAAGTGGAACTATTTATAATTTTTGAAGTAGTGTAATTTTTGGCTTCGAACAATTATTAATTATATTTTACAATTTTTAATTTGAAACTAAAAGGTTTTGTACATTACAAACATAAAAAATTGAGTAAAAGTCATGTAGTGTGGATCATGTTGTTGGAAAATATTGTATAAAATTATCATTTGTACAGGTTTTATATGTATCAAGAGAGCTGAATGGTGCTGCTGACACGTTGGCTAAGGAGGGACTCCAGTCTTCTTTCTTCCTGAATGTCGTTCCACATTATCTAAGGGACCCTGCAGCTAAAGAGAGTATGGGATCTCAATCCCTTCCCTTCTAATTTTACTGTTGGGCTTTGCCCTCTCTTGTATTAAAAAAAAAAAAATTAAAGCGATACTCACACCATTCCATCATTCCACCAAAGTTAGCTCATATAAAAAAAAAAAAAAAAACAGAGAGAGCCTACATTTGGTTCAGCTTCACCCATATTTTGATAACTTCTATTCCTCTCTCTCTCCCCCTCTATATATATATATATATATATAACTCTCAAACAACAGAACAATTCATTCAATGCTTCAATGCTTCGCATCCATAATAGACTCTATCTAATTAATCTAGATTGAACCATGTGCCAATGTATTCTGAACTCAAAGTTGAGACCAAATCTAGTTAAGCATTCGTCTCTTATTATACTTTCGTATATTTATATTGCATGCTGATATGCAGAAAATTTCAGGCAGAACACAGGTAGGGTCAACCATGTCACGACCTCGTCCAAGACTCAAACCATGAAAGATTGAATTTTTCTTCAAACTTAGCTCAGACGCCTGATTAAATGTTGATTTCAAATGCATTAAGGAGCTCGTGGTATTAAAAAAAAAAATCTTGGGAGACTACTTCCAATAACGTTCATCCTCAAAGGGCACTAAAATATGAAATGTCCCTTTAAACACTAAAAGGGACAGAGGATTTTAAACCTTGCACATAAGGAGCAATTAACCTGCACTGGTACTTCAGTTGATTTTTGAAATCTATTCTTGTCCATAACTCCAACTGGTATTAGCGGCAACTGGTTCTGTTTCTTCCCTCATTCATGTACAAAATTCTGCCACTTTGGACTACAAAGAAAGGAAGTGGACCTACGTAGGAAAATCACACTCACTGATTGGTTTAAAACAGAATAATCGATCCTGAAGGGTTATTGTCAAATGCCAATCTGACATGCCAAGCCGCACTTCGTTGATTCAAGTGGGCAATGACAAAGCTCCAACCATGAATATCAAAGAATATAAAGGGAAGGAACTTTTCTGATCCTAATCCCCTTAGTCCAATGAAAACTCGAAGTTTTTGCTTTCTCTGCCACTGTACAAATTTTTTTAATAGCACCTAAATTCTCCATCTAGGATTACAACAGAGGTCACAATCAACCCCATTTGGCATGGCTCCAGGCAAATAGCACTACTAACAAATCGAAGATCTTCGATGCCTTAAAAGAGACAAAACATGACCATCCCCCAATCATAATCAATGTCAAAAGTCTCTTGCTCCACTTTTTCTATTTTCCATGTTGTCCCCTTATAAGTTCTATTGCAAATGGTGATGAACCGCAGTTCTGATCAGCAATTTGGTATGGTTCCAAGTTCCAACTTCAAGCCGGGCAGTTTGTACCAACTCCTCGGCTTACCAGAAACTGGTAAAAATGTATGCAGAAAATCATCATATGGACTGCAAGCAAATAAAGGAGAAGAAGCTCAGAGGCTGTGTTTAGGATTCCTTTTGAGTGTTTTCAACACCAGCAGAACGAGCTGCTTGAAATTGAAGGGCATAACGTCTTTGCAGCTCTCTCAGCCTTTCTAGCAGTTCCTGAAATGTTGGCCGACCAGCTGGATCACTGGGGGGAATGAACCAAGATACAAGTCAGCAAAAGATATTTAACAATGGTAACGTGTTCCCGCAGAAATGCTGGCATACAACTAGGTGAGTCACATCATTTATATACCAGTAAAATAAAGCCAAATCATTAAGAACTCATACAATACTACATTTATCCAATAGTGCTATAGTGAATAATAATAGAGTATGAGCTTTTTCCAATGTCCAATTTACATGACAGCACAGTGATGGCTAATAGGCTGTGGGCCCAGTGATATAACTTGCACTATTTTATTTGATAGTTTATAAATGAAATAGTGCACCTGGTGTACCCAAGAATTTTCCCATAGTGTTAATGATAATAGGGGTATTTAGTTGGCATGCTAATTTTCTCTTAGTCAATTCATTTTTCTCTTCATTTCAGAATGAAAAAAGTTTCGATATATAACTTACAAATTTTCTTTTAAGGTTTCCATAACTTGAAAGCAAATATGGGAACAACAGAAAAATATAGTTAGTATATCAGATGCACACGACATGCATGCATGTGTGCTGCTAACAACTTAAGGTGACCAACATTAATTAAATAGTAAACTCAAGGGCAGTAAATTTTCTGGGGACAAGAAGACACAGACTATTTGCCCAAAAAAGGAGGGAGAATTTGAGTCTTGCTACTAACAGCATACAAACAACATTGTTTCACCCATCAAAATTATTAGAACAAATAGTTTGCAAGGTTGTCTCTGTTTGTCGCCATTATTTAATTCATAAGTTATCTTAAAAAGGTGAACTTGTCCCCACTCTAAGCATTAATACCATCAAATATGTGATCATTCTTAACAGAAGCCCATACCAAAAAGCTGAAAGAACAAAAATTCCGACTCCCAAAAAGAGGTAGAAAAATAGATGGAATAAGCGTTTCCTATCACCTAGTTCCGTTACGTAAACCAACAAAACATTGTAAAGTCAACTGATGAAACTGCCAATTTGTCATAGACCAGATTACCAAAATGAAATTTGGGCTACTTCGAGTATTCCAGGTAAAGAATGAAGAAACAGAAACTAGAAATGTCAGCAACTATGGAACCATCAATATATACAAAGCACCAGCTCAAGCAAAAGCTCTTTGGATTTCGATTTTGTCATAAAATTTAAGCAGGGAAGTAGGAATGATAAGGTTCAAATGAGTAAAGATGTTGAGAAATGCTAAAGATAATAAGAAGAAACTCAAAATATAGATTTTTAACAAAAAAGAAAACATCTCAAACAGCTGGTCTTAAGAAATTTGTTAAGGCACGCTGGCCAACAGTAGGACACAAGTCATTTTTAATTGATCATTTACTTTACTAGTGGCATAAGATTAATGCTTGTACGTGTAGAGCTGCGGAAAACGAAATAAATTAGTATGGCAGAACGAACAGAATATAATATAAACCTATGCCAGCAGCTCTCAATTATAGCAGCCCACGTAGGATCAACATCCTTCGGAATTTCTAGCCGCTGGTTCATGAACCCAACAGCTCCAATTACCTGCAAGTATCCTAGAGTAACCATTGTTCATATTTGGACTCACCATAATATGACAGTTACAAAATATGAATATGACAAATTAATATAATTAAATATCAGAAGGAATTGGGAAACAAATTAATTAACAATAGAAGTTGCAGGTCCCTATGACAAAATAACAAAACAATTCAAAGATCCCCATATCTTCAAGGGCTGGAATAATTTATTTAAGTGGTTTTTCCATCAATATGAAACCAACTCTTTTGGTGGCTTTCGGTTCAACAATCTTACATGACACCTTACTATATACATTCTCCATGTAGGAAATTCAAGGCTCACATATTCATGAAAACTATACCTGCATTGAGTTGAGACTCTCCCAAGGGATCTTTTCAGTTGTAAGTTCCCACAATATCACCCCAAAGCTGTATACATCAGACCTGATATCCCCAAGAAGCAGAGAATATAAAGTATTCAAAATCCATAAGTTCAGTGGGGAGAGAGAGAATAATTAAGCGTACAGATCAGACATACTTCTCATCAGAAGGCTCATTACGAAGAACTTCTGGTGCCATCCATTGAGGCTGCAAAGAAGAAAAAGCTAGAATCAGCAACTTCTTTGTTTGTGTGAAATAATAATGAATTCAAACAAAAAGATCTTGTGGCCAACAAAGAAGATATGTGAACCCACCGTGCCCTTTCCTGTCTTTGTCGTGAGATAAGTTTCATGCTTTAGGCGCGAAAGGCCAAAATCACCAACCTGTTCAGCTAGCACATGGTTAATATACTGTCTAACTAAACAAAATATAATACTAGAAATACTCAAGCAATCAAAAGAGAGCGTACAGCCTGACAAATGGAGAATAAATAGAAAAATTACAAGATGCTGACCTTAACAGTCCAGTTCCTATCAACTAGAAGATTTGAAGACTTCAAATCTCGATGAATGATAGGTGGGCTGCAATGATGAAGATAGTTTACACCCCGTGCCTATAGAAAGGATAAAAACAGAACATATCTTTAATTAAAGCAAGAAAATATCCAAAATGAATATGTAATACAAAAAAAAAAGAAAAAGAAAAAGAAAAAGAAATGAATATGACGCTATATCAACAAAACTTGAATGAGACGTTTTCTCCATAATATTACCAAAGAATACTTACAATGTCTAAAGCCATATGAACACGTCGTCTCCAGTCAAGTTTGGATGTGTTTCTCTGAAGTAAGCGAAACAAGCTTCCACTGAGATGAATTACAGATGAATGCAAGGATAATTAGCCCAACTTGATATATTGTAACTACATGATTAAAAAACAAAAGGAAACAAAAGTTTCTGAACAAACCGGGGGAGAAACTCTGTCACAATGCAGAGACGTTGAGGTGAAGTTACCGCCCCCATGAAAAGAAGGACATTTGGATGTCTAAGTCTTTTCATAACAGATACCTTCACATTAACATCATCATCATATCAGTGTTATATAATGAAGAACTTTAAGGGGGAGGGCCAGTGCTGTGAGGTACTAATATATTAGAAGAAGAGTAGAATATAGATAGAAGAAAATAACTATCAGAGAGGATTCGTGAAGAACTGGAAGAGAAATCTCTTGCATAAACTACTCCAAATTAGTTACAGTCTAAGAAATAACAATGCCAGAAAACTATGGCTCCACTCAATAGCTTATTTGGTTCATGTATAAGTCAATTTATTAGTTTTGCTAATTTTTTTAATTAAAGTGGGAATCAATCTTGGTGCAATTTATGTGTTTTCTTTGAGGTCCTTTAATAGAATTACGATATGTGGAGAGACCTCTTTAAAAGAATCAATCACGTGGTGCTGGGTGTTGAAAAATGTTTAAGATGTTAGCAAATACTTGATGAACTTTGCCAAAGTCTTCTCCTTATAATTGAGGAATATATGCAACAGCTTACTTCCACTTTGGTTATCCTTACCCACATCACTAGAGCTAATCAAGCTAAATCCTATTCAACTGCTCATATTATGGCTACCATAAGTTCATTCCAGACTTTTGGTTCTACAACATCTGCTCATAATATAATACCCATATAAGAGCAGCATGCTACAACGTGGCAATGCCACCTCGATGATATATTTAAAGTTAGAAGGTTAAACATATTGATCCTTCTTCTTTGGCGAACAAATAATTAATAGTCCTGATTGAACAAAATTAAACTCAATGAAGCGTTCCAGTTATCGTTGGTGGTGAATGGAACATGTTTATATCTATAAACCCTTGCCCGACACCTAACATGGATGTAGTTTAGTTTGTCAATAAAAAAATGGCAACCATAATCATCGGGCAAATATCATCAAACTAAAATCCCCAAGGTAAGCCTCGCACATTCTAAGTAGTTCATCTCTCCCTAGTACATTAGCAACTGAAGTTTTTCTCTAGAAAAGAAAATAAAATTGACAGCCTGAAAGCATACCTCTTGTCTGAAGGACATTATTACATCATCTGAGTATTCTTGCTTGGAGAATACCTTGACCGCAACATCCTGCAGAAATGTGGGAGTTAGTTGGCATCACATAATAGTCATCAGCAATATTTAGTTTGTCTCTGCAGAAAAGGCACATCCCAAATGAAACTCTAGCATTGCCTCAGGCTTGCATTTTCCATATACATTGCGCTGCCTTCCAGAAATTGCTTTACCTTTCAATGAAATATTTGAAATTCAAAACATCATAGGACATGCTGGTAATTTGAGTTGCAACCTAATCAAAATTTGTGCAATATAAAAGGAAAGCCTTAAAGGTTTTGTTAACCCACAGAAAAGTGGACAATTGAAAGAAGCAAAAGAGAATTCTCAAACATAGCTACAGCCACTAGTTATTTCAACATCCTTTTTACACATAGTATATGAACTTGAAATTATAATTAGCAGGAAGAGCAAAGAACATACTGATCCATACCACAGAGCGTGATACACAGTTCCACATGATCCTGCAAAAGCAACAGCAGAGAGGTAAATAGGAAATAGAAATAACATACCAAGCAAAAACCAAACAACAAATTTGACAAGGAAAGAATGATGGCATTAGCAAAGGATGGTAGAGGAGATAATAAAACTAACCAATTCTATGCATGACAACTACACTGATAACATTAGCATAGCTATCAATTTTGGAAATAAGAAATTTGAAGTTATAAAGTTCCAAGTTTTTTGTAATGAATGCTCTATTCTTTTGCTCTTAATACATACACAATCCCAAATCATGACCGTTTGAAGTTTTTTTAAGGAAAAAAAAAATCTCTACCTTGCCCAATTTGTTCTCCAATTGTCAAGTCTTCCCACAAGATTTCATAATCCAAACAATCGGTATCCATGTCCAATTTATTATTGACTGCACTGCTGCCACTCCCACAGCTGCTTGCACTACTTGTGCTGTTAACATTGAAGGAGGACCAGGATCCTGATGCTTCATTATTAACAGGTCGACCTCCTTCTCCTGCCTGACTTTCTGGCCTCACACAAGAAGAAAGAGGCTTTCGCTGAGCTGGCTCATTTTCTTGATCATTCTGCACCCAGGGCCAACCAACACGGACATTCCTTCCCTCTGACCCATCCCGTTCATATGCTTTCCATGGCCATGATATTGTTTTCTTTTGAATCCATGCTTCAGCCTTGGAAGTTAATACTTTATGACTAGGTTTTCCTTCACCCTCATCACCGTAATCTTTTAAATTTTTTCCTTGACTTTTGTCTTCTTTGTGAGAAAATAGACCAAAAGGAGATGGGGGCACATCTCCCCTGGGTGTGCTAGCTCCACTTGAATTAGCATCTTCTCTCTGGTCTGAGAGAACAGAATCTGAGAAGCTATGCTCAGAATGATGACTTTCACCGCTCCCACCTTCACGATCCACATTTTCTCCCATTCGGATTCTTGACTTCACTTTGTTACTTACCTTGGATGCCTATTATAATGGTTCTAACATCAAAACATGCCATGCTAAATTAAATAAAAGAAACATTAAAAAAATGTTGAATACTAACCAAATTAGAAATTTTTGATGCTATACCAACTTGAAGAGGCTGTTGAGAATCCAGACCAAGTTTATTTGTGATGCCACTTTTAAGATTGCTGGAGCCTGAACCTGTTTCAGAGTGCTTTACTCCTGATAACGGAACTCTCGTGTCAAGGAAGGGGCGTGAATCACTCGAGACCGAAATAACGCCAGCCAAATTTCCATCATCGTCATATAAAGGGGTATTACTAGCTAAAGCGAAAAACTTCTCTCCCATCTTATTTTTGGCAGGGAACTGCCCAATCCATTTCTCTCCCTTAATGACCCGGTTGACTATATCATTGGCTACGGCAAAATCCCTGGGGTCTACAAGCAGTTCAATGCCATCCTTACCGAGGGCTTCTTCCGCTGTATAACCGTATAAATTTTCAGCACTACGGTTCCTGCAAAATTATTACATAAACCTTAAACAATTAAGCTTTTGATGTAGGTCCCAGAATTCTTTAATCGACAGTAAAGAACATTTTATGCTCGAAATAAGTATAGTTGAAAACATATCCATTTTAATCTGAGAACATATAATCTCCAACAGCCTAATAAACGAAAGTCATTACAACTACGTTTGTATCTCCATTTGCAAACAGAATAAGAAACCACAAAAATAATCTTCACATTCTATCATGAAGAAATTAAATACAGGAAAACTTGAAGTCGAATAAGCTATTCACCAGTATATCATACGACCGTTAAGATCCAATATATGAACAGAGTGCCCCATTGACTGCAAAATATTGAGATACTGCCTATCAGTAAAATTCACAGCTGAAGGGCCCCTTCCAACGCCAACTTCTCCATCATTCTGAGGATCACTGCTACGGCTCTCTCTCTGAAGCGGTGACGAATGTTTAAACGAAGTTGAACCTTTCTTCCACGAAGCAGGTCCATCGAATCCGCCGCCTCCAGCTCTCCTCCTGGACGCACCCAATCTCGAACGCTGCGGCGATATCGAGTGCGACCTCTGGCGATGATGGCTCTGCTCGGCTCGGGCATCGCTCGCGCCCGAGAGCTTGAGCTTGGACATTTCTTGCTTGAGATGAGCGTGACCCGCCTCGAGGTCCTCGATCTTCTTGAGAAGCTCTTCTGGTGGTGGAGTTCCCATTTCGAAGCTAAAATCGAGCTATATCCAAAAGAGAATCTTCAGATATGTTCAACGCAACGAGCTGACAACATGAATTTAGAAAGAAGATTCATCAGTCATCACCCTCTCTTTCTCTTTCTGTCCGTTTCTCTGCCACACAGCCAAACTAGTCCCGAGCTTGATTCAGTGACTCGGCCCCTCTCTCTCTCTCTCTCTCTCTCTCTCTCTCTCTCTCTTCCCCCTTCCCCACAAGATTATTTCAATAACAGCAGATAAACTTGAGGGGGAAAAGCAGATATAGGTTGAAGTTTGATTAGACAAAATGAGAAGGTCTAATCTATCTCTGCTTTCTTCCGCAGTCAATTGCTCATTGAAAGAGAGATTCGAGCTCTGAGGGGTCAAAAAGCTTTTTCGGCCTTGTGTGTGTGTGTGTCTCTCTCTCTCTCTCTAATAAAAATAAATTCAACTTCAGCTTCCTTCTCTTTCTTTGTTTTTTAGGCCAGAAAGCTTCCTTCTCTTTCAGGTTTTGCTCATTATTATTCAACTCCCCCCCCCCCCCCAAAACCCACGCGGGGTTTGGCACTTGTGGAATGTGAAGTACTGTGTCATAATTTAATTCTATTTGGGCTATTTGACCAAGAAATGGCAATTACATATAAATCCAAAAAATCCCACGCGCCTTAACGCGCCAATAATCGTCGCCGGTTGTTGACTATCGGTCCAATCATCGCAGCGCGTCTAACTCATTCTCCTTCGATAGCGTTTGTTGAAGCTCAACTGGCAGATTCTTTTTGTTTTAATTCGAGATAAAAATTTATATCAATCCTTCTTAAACAACGAAGTTTTATGAGAACCCAATTTTAAAAGCAAATTTTGTCTATTCTAAATTAAAGATTAATCACTAAACTGCTATGATGTAAACCTGTCCCAAAGAAGAAAAAAAATTATATAAATTTTTAATTGTAGTTTAGGCATCAATATTCTTTTTTTGCCTAAAGTATTCCATAATTAAGATTAATCTCTTAAAAAATTTGAACATCATTTAAAAAATTATCCTTTCTCAAGCAGTGTTTTTCTTATTTGGTAATGCATCAATTTTATTTTAAAAGTAATATGAAGTTAACTGTTTAAAAACATTAGATATTGCATATAACTTAATAATTTTTTTCCGTAGAAAATATATTTCATTATAAAAGGAAGAGTACACCCAGCAACTTTCTTTTTTGGCCAATACGCCCAACACCTAATAACTTAATGATTATTGAAAAATATAAAATATGTAACATCAAAAAAATATAAAAATAAAAAAATGATAATAAAATTTTTTTAAAATATACAAATAATAATTTAGTCTCTTAAAATGTCATAATTTTATTGAAGTCCTGTAGATTTTTTTTACCATTAATAAATTAATATAAATGATCAAATTGTCCTTGTTAAAAAAATAATTTACAAATTTTGTTTAAATAATCACAATTTTTCTTCTCATATTCACAATAATGTAACAGCAAATCAGGAACTTAACATGTAAAATTATAATTTGTTGTTATATTGTTGCGAATATAAGAAAAAAAATTATGATTATTTAAATAAAATTTGTCAATCATTTTATTTTCAATAAGGACAATTTAATCATGTATATAAATTCATTGATAATAGAAAAATTTATAAAAATTTTAGTGAAATTATAACATTTTAAAATACTAACTTATCATTTATATAATTCAAAGAATTTTATTATTTTTTTCTTATAAAAATACATGATCGAATATTTATATTTATTTAAAAAAAAGGGTTTGTCTTTTTTATTTCATTTTCCCTGCTTCTAGAAGACTCCCGTGGCATGCATTAAATTCAGACAACAATGGACACACATTTTTCCGTTGAAAAGGGTCGAAAATAATAATATAAAATAAATATATTCAACAACTTTTCTTCTCTCAACTAGAATTTTTTATATGAGCGTTATATGAAATTTGATGTCACTGACATTTTATTGTCTAAAAATTATATGATAAATTTTGTGTAAATTTTATATTTTACATTAATATTGATATTAATTAGTGGCTAAAAATCAATAAAATTTTTCCCTTTATTTGAGTTGCTTTTTGGTTCAATTCCTTAATTTACCATTACAATTGTGTATATCCATTCAGGTCGTTGGCCAATTATGCAAATTTATTACTTTTTTTATTAAAAAATATAAAATATTTTTAACCGAATCTCGTCCTTCAATAAAATAGTTAATTACTTTTCAACTAATCATATTTTTTCTTATTTACTCCTATTAAACACTCTATAATAAATATAAAATTATTATCAATAGAGGTACTTTTAAAAAAATAATAATTACACCTCAAAAGACTAAAAATACTTTATATTTTTTAACATCTAACTCCTCAAAAAATGCTTTATATTTTTTAACAAAGGAAGTACTTTTTTTCACCCTTATGCATGTGTGTGACAACTGTCATATTGATTACAGGAAAAAAAACACTAGGAAAAATGACAATATATCCCTCTAAATTCTATAAATGATAATGTAACATCGAAATTTAAATTTTAACAATTAATTTAGATTAATAAAAATTTTAAAGAATATTTAGAGGTAAGTAAATTAGTAGAAGATGATTATCAAATCTAATTTAGAATATAATTCTAAGTTAAGATTTTAAAAAGTATTATTATTATTATTATTATTAGGGAAGAAGAAAGAGAAATATAATAAAAGAAAGATAAAAAAATGAAATATATGTGTGCGCGCGCGCGCATAGGAATTAAAAAGAATAGAAAAAAAAGGGGAGGCGGACGTTCTGCTGTGTAATGTACATACATGCATGCAATATATATATATGTTAAAAAGAATGAAACGGGAGGAAAAAGGGTGTGGGATCCACAGGTAATTTTTTTAAATCAACAAATGCCCCTTTCCCTTTGATTTTCCTTTTCTTCTCACTTCTCTTTTGCGCACGAATAGAGCAAGTGACTGTAAGCGAGTTCATCCCGTGTCTAAGTTTTAAAGGTGAGACTTTCTAATATGATATTTAGGATGAGATTTTAGACTTTTTAAAATTAAGTAAGTGTTTTAAAATTTTTTCTTAGCTATCCTTCCTCTTTTATTTCTAATTTTGTAGTGGTAAAAAATTTAGAGTTTAGAAGAGAGATGAATTTATGTTAAATAAAAATAATTGTTGAGGTTGTTAGTGGTATAATAAATATTTTAGAGTATAAATTTATTGATAAGCTTGAAATATGAGGTTTATGGATCAAATCCTAGGTTAGATTTTTATTAAATCTAAAAATATATATTGATTTATTAAGGTTTAGATGATTATTTGAGATGAGAAATGAATTATTATGGCTATAGAATGTTGTCTCCAAGCTTGAGACTCAATTTTCAATTTTTAGGTATTTTAGGTGTGAATTTATGAAATGAAAAGAAAAATTTTGATAATAGAAATTAGTTTAAAGGTTGATTTTAGCTTATTAAAATTTATTGATGACTAAAAGAAGAGTTAGAAATTTTATTTAATAGTATTAACTCTAGATTTATAATAAGGTTGAGATTAAAAATTATGTTATATATTCTAATTCTACTATTAGAGTTATTTTATTAGTTTCAATAATTAAAACTAATATTTATAAATAATATGTTATTTGTAGATTGTGTTGTTGATGAAGATTGTAGTGGAGAGAAATTGTGATGAATAATTTATTAAAAAAGCCACAAGATAATCATGCTTTTTATTTATGATTAGTGTTGTTTGATGTTAGTTAGGTAATTATTGAGAGAATTATAAATTGTTGTTGAGAAATTACCCTGTTATGGTTATGAAAAAAATTATGATCTATTTTTTTATCCTAAATAATCATCTAAACCTCAATAAATCAATAAATTTAATAAAAATCTAGCCTAGGGTTTGATCCATAAGTCTCAAATTTCAAGTTCATCAATAAATTTATACTCTAGAACATTTATTATACCACTAACAACCTCAACAATTACATTTATTCAACATAAAGTCATCCCTTTTTTAAATTTTAGATTTTCTACCACCACAAAATAAAAAATCAAAGCAGGAGGATGGTTAAGAAAATTTTTAGAATATTTACTTAGTTTTAAAAAACTTAAAATCTCACCTATAAAACTCAGACACGCTGTGTCGATGAACTCGCTCACAGTCGCTTGCTCTGTTCGTGCGCGGAAGAGAAGTGAGAAGAGAAGGAAAATGAAAGGAAAAAGGGCATTTATTGATTTACAAAAATCACCTGTAAGTCCTATATCCTTTTTCCTCCCATTTCATTCTTTTTTTTTAATATATATGTGTGTGTACATTACACAGTAGAACATTTGCCTCCCCCTTTTTTCCTATTTTTTTAATTCCTATGCACGCATGCACGCACGCACACACACACACATATTTTATTTCTCAATCTCTCTTTCTATTATATTTCTCTTTCTTCTTCCCTAATAATAATAATAATAATAATAATAATAATAATTTTTAAAATATTAACTTAGAATTATATCCTAAGTTAGATTTGATAATCATCCCCTACTAATTTGCTTACATCTAAATATTTTTAAAATTTCTATTAACCTAAATTAGCTATTAAAATTTAAATTAGAATGTTACAGATAACCTAATTTCTCAAAGTATCATGATTTTATTAAATTTTTAAAGAACTTTTTTATTATTAATAAATTAATATAAATGACTAAATTATCCTTAATTCAAATTGACAAATTGCCTTTGACATGCAAACTTATGATTTATTATTGCATTCTTACAATTTTAAAAAGAATGATGTGATTTTCTAAACAAAACTTGTGATTGGCATTTATTATTTCCAAAAATAGCAATATCAAGAATTTAATATATGAATTTGAAATTTGCTAGTACAATTTTACAATTTTAAAAAGAAAGTTGTAATTCTTTGAACAAAATTTGTGAAAAAATTAAAGGCAATTTTATCATTTATGTTAATTCATGAATGATAGAAAATTTTTCAGGAATTTTAATAAAATTATGACATTTTAAAAAATTAAATTATTATTTATATAATTTAGAGGGATTTTATTATCATTTTTGCTTAAAAACTACCACATGTTTCTCGTTGATAACAAGTGTTTAAAAAAAATTAAGAAAAAACATAACTCTAAATTCTTACACTTCGCTCACATTTTATTATAGGTCTCTGTATTTTTTTTTATATTATAGGTCTGTACATTTTTATTTTTTGATATTCTTGGTCCTTCCATGAATAAAGTATAAGGATATAGAAGGAATTTAAAATATTAATAAATAAAAGTGTAGAGATTTAAAATACCAAAAAAATGTAAAGGACTATAGTAAAACATGAGTAATGTGGAGGGACTTAAAATTATATTTTTTCAAAAATTAAAATTAAAAGTAGGGAATAAAAGTGGTGATAGGATGAAGTATATGTTTGATGTTTTCAATCTATCATA